GGTTTTAACTGTAAGAAAACTTTAAAAGAAGAGATATTTGGATGACAAAAATATGCCTTATTGAAAATTAAGCAAATTCTTTATAGTAAAAAAAATTTCAGAATTTGATTACACAAAAACAATTTTATTAAAAACAAAAACTTCCAACAGGAACAAAAACCTGCAGCCTCTAGTTGCCTTTTTACTTTCTTCAGCTCTTGTGATGGATTACCAAATCAACTGATCCTTCAGCCTTTTTGCCTATATCCTGAGAGGCTTTTTGCTACTAGTATATTGACATCTTAATGTTAAAAGGAAAAACGAACAACGCATGATTGTGACTTGCCAGTTTTTATCAACTACTTCCTTCCTTTGTACCTAGCACACAGGGATTGCCAGGAACTTCCGTTTACTGCACACCACAAGTGTGGCTGACTGCCCCATTATCATGCTCAGGTTAATGAGACTGTGTGAAAATGGGTGTGGCTGCCCTCTTCTGGACTCATAGGTCACCAGGGATGGTCAGTTCCCAAGCTGAGTTAGGACAGGGACTGACCCTGAAGTGTCTGTTGCTAGCTCCAGCTCAGGCTGTTGACCAGGAAGTGATCATATCTTACTTTGGAGACAAAAGAATCCTCACATGGTGTCAATTTTTAACAGATGCACACTGATGCTATAATCTCTCCCAACCTCCTGAACCCTCCTCACTCAACTCACTGTTAAGGAAAGTGTTAAATCCTGAATTAGAGACCACAGACTTGCTTTTCTTCAGAGAAAGGACTGCCCCTTCTTGGTCCTGGCAGTTTGTGTGGCTGGCCTTTCTGCCTTGTCTTGCGGTATGAACTTCAGCTCCAAGGGCACCCAACCACCTGCCAGCCCCTCTCTGCATCCAGAGAGTGTTTTGGTCCTCAGCACCCACACGATTGACTCAGTGGTTCCTGCTTGAAGGAAGACTGCACTCAAGCCCCTCCTGAATCTGAGAGTCCACATGCTGCTCCTAGGCCCCATAAACCAAGGACCCTTCCTAACTACCTACTTCCCCCAGGACTATTAGCTTCGGGGAAGGCTCTGGCTCTGCTATTCAGGACTGGGCTCCTGCCTGGGAGAGGTGGAGACATCATGGGACAGGGCGGGCAGGGTAGTGTTTCAGATGGCCAGGTCCAGATCTGCCTGCTGGGGGCCAGTGACTCTGTTGCAGAAGATGAGAGCCCTTCTGACTGAGGCCCCACCCCAATAGCCACTGGGTTCCCTCCTCCCACAGGCCATTCAGCGCATGTCCCTGTTAACCATTGCACTGATCATGAAGCCACTGGCCACTGCCATGTGTGTTGCACACATGCCACCATGCCCTTCCTGATGAATACCCTAAGGAAGTCATCCAGCTGTTTCTCAGTCCCAGGGCTGGTGGTTGGTTTTGGATTTGTGTTGACTGTTGATACTTATTTACTGTATAAATATAATTTATCATTTGTATCATGATGTGGTTTCTGGCTGTGTCCTTTCTCTATCCTGTCTTTACCTATCCAATGTGACAAGATGGCAGGGCTGGCTAGGGAAGCAGCTTGGCCTTCAGTCAGGCCACCACCCTCACCTAGCGCCTGAACCTCGGGTCTGCTCTTGGTGGACATTGCCATGCCCTGTCTGACGGCTGTGCTGGGCTAAAGTTGGCCCAAGTCCATTGCCCAGTTCTCAGTGTGCTTTAGTGGTTTCCCATCCACTCTGTCTTAGGTCACTTTTGCTGTGATGAAACACTGTGACCAAAAAAGCAACTTGGGGTTTGAAAGGGGTTATTTGGCTTATGCTTCCACATTGAATGAAAAAAAAAATGTTCTTAGTGTGCTGGAGGAGAAAGCTTATTATAGATATGTGGGAGAGCATAGTAAGAGACAGGGATATCTGGAAGAGTCCAAAGGGCTCGGCCAGATTGAGCTGGGCCATGTAGGAAGAGGGGGATCCTGGTACAGCAGCCAGGAGACCAAAGGTACAAGAGGAGGAGGGCAACCAAAATGTTGGGATTACATAGGGAAGAGCCTCTGAGGGGAGGAGCTTGGGCTGGGAGAACCTGGCAGTCTGCTTTGATATGTTAAATAGGCACCATAGCTTTTTGTCCTGGGTTTGAAACTTAATACACATTACTGTTCACCACCCCTAGGGTTTCTCTGTGTAGCCCTGGCCATCTTCGAACTCACTTTATAGTCCAGGCTGTCCCCAAAAGAAATCAAAGATCCGCCTGCCTCTGCTTCCCAAGTGCTGGGATTGCCCAGCTTTTACTGTTCATCATTAAAGAAAGTCCTAGCAGGAACCTGGAAGGAGCTAATGCAGAGGTTAGAGGAGTACTGTTTACTGGCTTGCTCAGCCTGCTTTCTCATAGAACCCAGGACTATCAGCCCAAGGGTGACACCACCCATAATGAGCTGGGACCTCCTCCATCTATTCTTAATTAAGAAAATGTCCTACAGGTCTGCCCACAGCCTGACCATATGGAGACTGGGTTTTTGTTTTGTTTTTGTTTTACCCCGTTCAGTTGAGGCCCCCTTCTTACAAGAGACTCTTGTGTTTAGTTGACATAAAACCAGCCAGCACACTTTTCTTTTCACATCTCTGCCCCAGAAGCTTCAGGCTGTCAGATGGGCACAGATCCTCTGTGTTCTTCTGCACAGTAGGAAGCAGGCTTTGTTAGCGGTTTACCGGTTGTTGTCACAGCTAGTCCTCTAGGCACCAAGGCCTATCTTAGCTCTCAGACCAAGAGGTGCCAACCTCAGTCCTTTTGGTGTTCAACCAAGAATCCAGGGTTTATGGGGGCAGCGTCTTCTCCAGTGAGGCAGGTTCTCTGTCTCCTGATAGCCAGCAGCATGGCAGGCTGAGTGACACTGCTATTAATGAGCAGTTTGGGAGGTACTTCTCTGCTCTGCAGGTGGCCCACCCTTTGAGCAGCTGGGAGCCAGCTTTCTGCCTGCACAGGCTGTTGCCAGCCTGGACTTGTTTTTGATCCTGTGGTGCTGTGCTGGTTTTGAGTCAGCTTAACACAAGAGTCATTAGGAGATGAGGGAGCCTCAGTTGAGAAAATGCCTCAGTAGGATTGGGCTTTAGGCAGGCCTCTAGGGGGCATTTTTTAAAATCTGGTAATCAATGGGGGAGTGCCACTTTTGTGGGTGGTACTATCACTAGGATATTGGTCCTGGGTGCTATAACAAAGCAGGTTGAGCAAACCAGTAAGCAGCACCCACCTCTGCCTCCATGTTCCTGCCCAGACTTCTTTCAGTGATGGACTGGGATGTGGAATTCTAAGCCAATAAGCCCTTTCTTCTCTGACTTGCTTTTGGTCATGGTGTTTATTACAGCAATAGAAAACCTGATAGGAGGGCTGGAGAGATGGCCCAGCGGTTAAGAGCACTGGCAGCTCTTCCAGAGGTCCTGAGTTCAATTCTCGCAACCACATGGTGGCTCACAACCACCTTGAATGAGATCTGGAGTGCTCTGTTGGCATGCAGGCAGAAGGCTGTATACACAATAAATAAATAAAATATTAAAAATATTTAAAAAAGAAAGCTTGATAGGAAGCTACTTACCTGAGAACCTTAGTAGGTTTTTAGCTCTTTGCTTCTGTTAGCTTCATAGACACATACTGCTTCTCACCCAACTTCCTACCTCCACCTCCAGACAGTGTTTCTCTGTGTAGCCCGGACTGTCCTGTAATTCACTCTGTAGACCAGGCTGGCCTTGAACTCACAGATCTGCCTGTTTCTGCCTCCAGAGTGCTGGAATCAAAGGCTTGCACCACCACACCCAGCCTTTTATTCTTTACTACAAGACTAGGCTTCTGTGGTATAATTTTCAGTCTTAGCATTTGAGTTTAGAGTTCTCTTACTAACCTTTTTAAAAATTATTTTCATCGTTTGGGTATTTTGTTTGAATGTATGTCTACACTATGTGCCTGTCTGCTACCCTTGGAGGCCATAAGACGGTGTTATATCTCCAGACTGCAGTTACTGATGGCTGTAAGGCACCAGGAATTGAGAAGAGCAGCCAGTATTCTCAGCTGAGCTGTCTCCAATCCTTTCCTAATTTTATGATGCTAATTTTTTAGCTTTCTTTGTTTCATTCATTTCTGCTTTTGCAGACTGGCCTATTCTTCCCCACACTTTATTTCTCTGGCATATCCTCCCCTCCTCCCCCAGAGCTGTTGGTTGAGCCTCAGAGCCTGCCCTGCCCCCGCCAGTGGCTCTTTGCTAGTCACTATATGCTCTGCACTCTTCTTACCTCCCACCCTGGTGGCCGTGTACAGTAACCTCTGCCGTGTAACCTCTGCTTTGTAAATCACAGCACAGGCCGGGTGGTGGTGGCACACGCCTTTAATCCCAGCACTCAGGAGGCAGAGGCAGGCAGATCTCTGTGGGTTCGAGGTCAGCCTGGTCTACAAGAGCTAGTTCCAGGACAGCCTCCAAAGCCACAGAGAAACCCTGTCTCAAAAAACAAAAACAAACAAAAGCATAGCATAAACTCATTCCTTGTAAGTTTCTGGGTCAAGGCTATTGAGGAATAGGTTCCCTACCTCCCTTCTGTTCAGGATAAAACACAATAAAATCCCCCACAAATGCCCAACAGGGGTGTTGGAATCTGACACCAGATTGTTCTCTCATCATGCTGCTGCCTTCAGTGTGGACCTCCACATTCCAGCTATTGGCCTCTGAAGTTCTCCACTGAATGGTTTCTCATCTTGACTGGCAGGCATGCCAGAGGCTCTTAGGTGATGGTACCTTTCTTGATTGGGGTTGGGATATGCATCTTGTTGAATGTAATGTTCATACATGCCGCAATCCACAGCAGGTGATATGCCAAGTGCAGGGTGGAGTGGAGGAGGAGACACATGGACCAGTGTGAAAATGCAAATACAGTCTCTGCCCTTTGGTATCCTGGTGGTTAGAGCCCCACGAGGACACTCAAATGCCCTGTATAAATAGTGTAGTGTTAGACTGTACTTACCCATGCCCCCCTAGATGACTAGTAATATCAAACCACAATGAAAATGATACACGATTGTTATGATAAAGGGATGGGGGCAAGAAGAGTCTGCACATTTCTGTAGATGTTTGGTTTGTAGAACCTGCAGACACAGAATCCTGACTGCAGGAAAATGTCCATAATTTTTAGATGATGGGTATGCTGTCCATTGTAAGTCACATCAACTTTTCTGTGTTTAAGTAGCTTCATAGTGTTGGAGAAAGGGGCATTTGTACACTGTGTCAAAGCTTTTGGCAGAGGAGCCCATAGTGTTTGAGGCCAGAGATGAACTGAGGTGGAAAAATGTCACTGGCATGGGTGTTGGACAAGAGACCTGTAATGAAATGGGTTAGGTGTAGAGGGACATATGAAGGGTTCCTGAACCAAGAGTTTAGTGAAGGCTGAGACCAGTGAGCTTGAGGAAGGAAGGGACTGTTCTTGTGAGTGAGACACCAGGGAAAAGACCATGCAGGGTTTTGTGATATGGCCTCTGGAAGGTGGCATCCCCAGGGATAAGAGGGAGCACTTGAGATGGGGGGTGCACATGTACTAATGGTCAAAGATAAGAGTACTGAGGAATCCATGGCAACTCCAGGCAAGAGTTGAGGCACTGGGGTTTGGTGATGAATTAAAAGATCACTATGTCATGTGAGATTCTGCTGAGCTAGTTTGAAGAAAGGAACACACAGAAGGTGAAGTGTTTGTAAATGACATCTATGAGTGCTAGGGCAGGAAAGATGCTGTGACTGCAGGAGGTCTTGGATGACAAAAGGAAGACCATGTAGGGAAGGTGCTGCTGAGAGAGGATGCTTGGGTGATGCAGTTGCTGCAGCTATGCCTGGAGTGCAGATGTCAACATCACTGCAAGAGTGAAGGCTGTGGAAGAGGTTATCCGCAAGAACAGCTGGTGAAGACTTAAGTATCACCAGCCTCGGGAAGCAGTCTGGAAGTGTCGAGAGGCAAAGAAAGTCTCTGGAAAGCTGATGTGGGCCCTGTAGGAGGAAAGGATGGAGTTGCAAAGAGACAGGCCAGCTTCAGAAGGCAAGAGGAGTTTGCCATTCAGGGAGTTTTGCTGACAGATGAAATGTTCCAAAAACCCAGCTGGGGGTGTGTGTGGCAGGGGTGTAAAAGGTGATTTGGCCCAAGTGATAACTCAGTGTGTCCCAGTAACTCAGACATGTGCAGGAATGTGGCTGGTGGTTTGAATACATGGTGCAGGCCTTGGTCAGCTTGTCTGCTAGGCAGAAGAGGTTAGATGGAGCTGCCTCAGTACATGCTAGGTCATGTGCCACCAATATGCACTCATGGGGAAACTGGAGACCCAATTGCTCTCCCATGGATACTGGTGCTGGGCTGTAGGGCTTGCCAGAAAACGGCACCAGTGGCACAGTCTCCTGCCGGGATGCTTCTTGCGCTGTCCTCAGGCTCCTGGCAGCACACTAGAGGTAGAGAGGGAGTGAGAGATAGGAATGGAAGATGGGAGACCGGCACATCCCAGGACATGTCTTGCACATTATGCTAATAATATGGTGGACAGTCATAGTGCCAGCTGTGGAGCAAGTAACTAATTTCTGATGCGGAAGAAGACAAGTTTTAGATCTTTGGGGTCTCAGCTCTGAGCAAGCTGTTTAGCAATCCTGGGGAGGCCTCTACTCCAGCATGGCACACTTCTGGGGGCATGTCCTGGGAGGTTGAGCCCCAGACCAGTCCTGCTAACAGAGAAAGCAAGAAATCCAGGCCCCAGGACTTCTGAAAAAGATGTGATGCTTTATTATATAAAACTATCTTCAGCTCTCACTTCCCAGTGAGGCTGCTTGAGTCATTGTGTGTAGGCTGTGGGGCACTGTGGCAGGCAGAAAGGCTGATTTTCATTGTGGGTTGCCCTGTGGCAGGCAGGGACCCAGGACTCCTTGTGTGTCCACAGGCCCAGTGTCATAGCCCAGCTTCTTCATGTCCTTGGTCACCACATTGAAGAGGAGGGTGACAAATCCCTGAGAGCGGACACGGGTCACTGGAGACATGAGGTGAGCATTAGTTGGGTTTGTCAGGGATAGACATGGTAACCACCTGCTAAAGCCCTTGTGTAGGTAGTGTTCTAGAAAATTCTTTGGGTGGCTTGTTTGGGTCCTAGTTGTCAAGCAGCTTGCTGGCCTTCACCATGTGTTTCCCGGACTCCTAGGGGTTGGGGTCCACCTCTTCCCTTCAACTGGGGTTGGGAATATCAGCTTTACCTTCCCGGCCTTCGCCCTGGGCCACCACCTTGGGGTCTGTATACTCAGGCCGCCGTCCCATGAACCAGCTGAGGACAAAGGAAAACACCAGTGAGGAATACTTGGAACTTGCTAGCTTTAGCACTTCTCCTACCATCCCTCTTCTAAGTGCTAGAGCAACCTTCTGTCTTCTCTGGCAACCAGGCAGGGTGCCAGACGTCCCCGTTTGTGTCTGTGGCCAGCAGTCCTAGCAGCACTTCTGCCAAGCCTCCAAGCAGTGTCCAGCCTGCCCAGCCAAGTCTTGTGGGTTTGCATCACCAAGTACAACCTGACCCCATGGAAACCCCCCAAAGAAACAGGTGCGTCAGGAGAGGAGGAGCAAGAAGACAGTGTGACCCTTAGTATCCTCAGGAAGGAGAAGCAATTTTAAGACGGGGCAGATCTAGCTCCTCAAACTTGGCCTCCTTGTATGGGATCCAGAACAAGTCACACCCTGTCACTGAACCTGTAAAAGATAATAGCACTTACCTCATGGGACCCTATCAGCCGCCACATAGCATTACGAGGGCTCTGGGTAAACAGGACATCTGACTTTTAATCTTACTTAGCTAAGGGTACCATTCAGCCCCCAGGCTCTGGCTGGCAAACCCAGAAGCACTTCCTACAAATGTCCTGTGACTCACATAGGCCACAATCTCACTGCTTCTGGTCTTGGGCCCCACCCAGGGCTCTAAGGCAGATGGACAGGATACACAGACCCAGCATCTTGCTGGAAACCATGGGTTTGAGGCAGACAGGATTTACTTAAGCATAGCACCCAGGATCAGTGTAGACTATGGGACAACACCAGCATTCCCGTTTGCCTGTGGAGGTGAGGCTTGGTCTTTTCCCTGGGCAGTTTGTGGCAGGAACATCCACCACCCATAACTATGCTGAGGGCATGGCTGGCTGGATCTGTGGGCTTCCAGGCTAGACCTCAGCAGCCCTATTGGACTGCTGGACAGGAGGTTCTGAGGGAACAACAGTGAGGAATGCTGTTCAGACAACCAAAGGTGGGGGTTAGGGAAACCAGTAAGTATGTGTGCATGTATGTGTACATGCACCTCTTCCTGTTTCCCCATCATAGAGCAAAGCTGTAACTGTATTCACAGTAATATTATAAGGAGTCTCAGAGAGCAACCCCGGCAATAAAGGCACATCCCATCCTCATCGTGTTTTCCAGTTCTAATCTACAGGTGGTTTTCTCATCTGAGAAGAGACAAGCTGTTGAGGGAGAATGTCCCAGGCAAGGGCTGAGGCAGAACAAAACCTAGTGGCCTCAAAAACGGAAGGCCAGGCAAATGAGAAGCAAGCAAGAAAAAAAGAGGCTCGTGGCATCCTGGCTCAAGTGACTCCTAAATGCAGAGGGTGGGCCAAGGCAGCTTCCAACAGCGAAGCAACACCATCCTAGGGTCTTTGCAAAGACCAGGGTAAAGAGGCTACAATGGTTTGAGTAACAACTCTCGGGATACTGAGCAAGGACTGAAGACACTGAAGGTGACTTTATTTGTAGTTCCTAAGAATGCTGCAAGGCAGGACTGAGCCTGGATTACCCAGGTAGGCATAGACTAGGTGCTGCAAGGCAGCAGGCCGTAAGTCCATCCTATAGCCCAGAGCCTTGTCTTCAGGTCTGACTAGGTCCCTCTGTCTGCCTCATGCTGGCTTGCAAGAGGGAGCCCAGTGTCTCTTCACTTTCCTTTTATCCTTGAAAACCTACTGGGGCACAGAGGTGGCACGCAGCGGAGCTGGGCTAGTAGACCCTTCAAATGCCTACATGGATGTGGCAAAGGCCTTTCCTCTGGACCATCGCCAAAGTTTCTTGTTCTCTGGGACCTTCTTGCTGCCATGTCCTGTCCCCCGCCCCCAATCCCTTCATACTTGCTGGCAGCCGTAGCTTTTTGGCTGCTCCTAATTCTTAAGTCTTGGGGCTGCCAGAGCTCTTGGGGCCCTGTGTGTGGAACATGCTTCCCAGATTCCTCATGGCTGCTACTTGACTGTTCTTGTTCCTACCTAACGTGGTCTCCCTGAGGCACCCTGGGTCACTGTGACTGTCTTAAGGAGTTTGCCTCATGCTGCTGCAGTCCAACAAGCACCATTCCATGTGACAAAGACTGATGGCACAGAAGAAAGCCTCACGGCCTTAAGCTGCCAGAAGTAGTCCAAGGAAGCCCAAGGACATGGCAGTGCTCCTGCCTGCATACCTGGGTGCAGCCACTTGAAGACCTGTGTGTGAGGTTTCCAGGTCTCAGGAGGGTGGAAGGTGATGGTCTAGTCACCCATTAGCTCAAGAGGCAGCAAGGCCACAAGCAGAAAACCCACCTTGTGAACTTCTGCAGTGTAGATGTAGACTCCGGCACAAACATGGGGATGGTCCTCTTGTGCCTGAAACAGTATTTTCATACAGACATGTGCAGAGGAACAGTACTGGCCCTGTGGAAACCTTTACAGGTCAGGGTGCAAGCTTGACAGATGGTGTGTGGACACACATAGAACCTTTTCTTTCTATACCCACTTCCATTCTGCTCTAGTAACACGAGTTGCCCACCTATGTGAGCCTTTTCCAAGGTGCAGATTATACCCAGGCCCCTGAATATATCTTGCCCAAGCCCAAGTAAGGAGCATTGACCAGAAAGCCTGCTGTCTAAAAGTGCTATCCCCAAGGTTTGCCTGCCCAGTAAGGGGCAGGCTGCAGGTCAGAGTGGGCACCTACCGTCCAGGAGAGAAGGGTACATGCACTGCTCCATAGCCTCGGACCACATCATTCCCAAACACGTCTGGTCCATACACACTGAGCACGATCTGTGGCCCTTGGGAAGGACAAGGGTGGCATGTGGGGGAACAAGGGAAGGGATATAGTATATGATGGTCTGGAGCAGGGACTCAGGATGATGGCCAAATCCCTGGGCACCCAAAGCTATCTGCTGGTGCCCTGGGAGCACTCTCCATGCCTCTGCTCATAGCTGGGGAGACAGAGCCAAGGTTCTGTGCCAACCCTGGGCCCCTGCTTTCTTCCTCTCTGATGGGAGGGGCTTGTCCTGGGGGTTCTGAGTGCAATTAGACCAGGCCTTCCAGGTATGTCTCCTTAACACTGACGCTCACGTGTGCTTCACGAGCAGGCCTCCACCTCCTTCGTGTCTGACCTGTGGAGCACATGGACCTACTCCAGCTCCAGATGACAGGTGAGGCTTGGAAGCAGGCTCTGTGGTTACTGCTGCACAGCCTCAGACAACTTTCCCAACTATTTTGCCTTCAGCTTTCCTGTGTCTAAAAGCCTTGGAGTAGTACCAAGCACAAGAGGCGCTCAGTAAAGACAAATGAAGTCTGTGCCCTTCCCATTACTACTCTGCCACCAAAAGTAACCCGTGAGTGACTTCAGGTAGTCCTATTTAGTGGTTTGTTCATTCTCAACACTAAACACCTGATCACCATAGTATCCCGCAGCCAACTGTTAGTGGTTGTGGGCACATGGGCTGTTCCTCCTTGGAGAATGTTGCAGTGAATCTTAGATCACCTATACACAGGTTCTTGACACACTGTGTCCTCATCCCTGAGCACGCTGCTGGGGATGTGCTCAGGAAGGGACTCCCGTGGACAGGCAGGTCTCCGTTCAGTTCTACAGTTTTCCATTGCATTCCTCTCAATGGATGCTCCCGTCAGCAGTGTTCTCTACTCTGCACACTTGTCTTAACCTGGACTGGTCAGCCTCCATTGCTTTGCTAGCTTTTTGAGAGCTCAGAATTAGAAGGGTGGCTGTGGGATGAAGGAGAGGCTTTGTACAGAGCATGAACAGAGAGACCCAGAAGAGCGTCCAAGGATGAGCAGGTACTGGAGCTGACTGGAACACTATGCAATGGGAAGTGGAGCAACTTGGGGTCAGACCCTCTAGCCTGTACTGCAGCACTCCAGGCTCCGTGTGCAAATGGCAGTCAACAAAACAGGCAGCTGTTGAGCACATCAAAGGCTGCGGCACAAGCGCCACCTGAAGGAGAGTGGGAGGAGGTGCAGCGGAGGATCCACCCCTCCCATCACGGCCCACAGACTCACAGCCATAGGGGTTGGTACTTTTAAAGGTGACATCGATGGGGAAGTTCCACACCAGTGCTTGCCGTACATCTTGACTCTTGGATGCGATCTGTGAGATCCCCTCCTCCAGACCCTGTACAGACATTGACAGAGACAGCTGGTCTGAGTTCCAGGCACTTGCGCCCTTTCCACTTACATAGGCAGGTTAGCAAGCCATTTACATTCTTTCTATGTGGCTTGTTCTCATCCTGTAGATATTTATCCAAAAGTGCCTTGGTCTAGATTCCACCCTCCCTGATACCCGTGTACTCTAGGTCCTGATGCACCACCTTCTTCATTCCACGTGTCTTTGATGAGCAGACTAGAGTGTGTTCTACTTATTGTATTGGCTTCCTCTACAAGAATATCTGTTCCACAAAGATGGGGACTTCTGTCAGGCATTGGTCACTCCCAGAGGACTCAGTAATACATGATGAAAATGGGCCAGTGAGATAACTCAGTGGGTAAAAGCACTTGCTGCACAAGCCAACAACCCAAACTCCATCCCCAAAACCACGGGAATCAAACCTATAGACAACAACCTTGGTGTGGTGGCGTGAGAGGGGGCCGGAGACACGAGAATACCAGGTGCTCTTGGACTATCGACCTTCAAGTACGAAACAGCAGCAAGAAACAAGATAGTCTCTGACTTAAAACAAGGTGGGGGATGAGAACTAGCTCCAGAAAAGCTGTCCTCTGTCCCTCAATATGTGGGATGGTACGTACCATGAGTGTGCATGTGCTTGTATACACAAAATAAAATCTTTTTTTGGGGGGGTGGTTATTTTTTTGAGACAGGGTTTCTCTGTGTAACAGTCCTGGCTATCCTGGAACTCACTATGTACACCAGACTGGCCATGAACTAACTGAGATCCACCTGCCCCTGCCTCCCAAGTGCTGGGATTAAAGGTATGCACCATCACCGCCTAAAATAGTGTTTAAAATTTTATACATGAGCAGTGGTGGCCCATGCTTTTAATCCCAGTACTTGGGAGGTAGAGGCAGAGGCAGCTGGATCTCTGTGAGTTTGAGGCCAACCTGGTCTGCAAAGGGAGTTTCATCACAGCCAGAAATTTTGTCTCAAAACTACCCACCCTACCCCCCATTTTTTCATTTTATGGTGTTTTGCCTGCATGCATCCCTGTGTACTATGTGTGTCCCTGGTATCCATGGAGGCCAGAAGAGGGCATCAGATCCCCTGGGACTGGGGTTACAGATGGTTGTGAGCTGTCGTATGGGTACTGGGCATCAAATTGGGGTCCTCTGTAAGAGTATCCACTCAATTGCTTAGTCATCTCTCCAGCCCCAAGAGTAGCTCACAACCACCTGTAACTCCAGTTCCAGGGGCTCTGACCTCTGGCCTCCACAACCACTTACATTCACACCCATACATAAGAACATAGCTTAAAGTAAATCCCTAATAAATATTGAATCATCTTTTTTAGAATATAAGGGGAAAAAGAAAATAGAAAAGTACTAACATGTCTGTGATAGAAATAAAGAAACTCAGGATCAAAGAAGTTAGGCTTCTGTGTTTTTTTGTTTGTTTGTTTTTTGTTTTTTTTCCATTTGATTGGGTCTTATATGTAGCCCAGCTTGACCTTCAATTCCCAGAGATGCTCCTGCCTCAGCCTCTGCACTGGATCACAGATATATGCTACCAGGTTTGGCTAGGTTTTTAAACTATTGTGACTATTACGTAAGTGCTGTGGTAGCAAACAAAGCCTGGTGTGGTGGTCTGCACCACAGTCCCTTCCTATGCTGAGAGACTGCCCTCAAAACCTTGAGAGGAGATCCTTCATTTTGTCCTGGCTTCTGGGTGTTTGTTCCCTGCTGTCTGGGGAGGGCAGCTGGCTGATGGTGTTTGCAGCCACTGGCAGGCAGCTTTCCAGGGCCTGCAGCTTATGCTGCCATTTGTCCCTCTTGGCTGCCACCAGCACAGGCTCCAGGATTGCATCAGTGAGCCCAGTAGTGGCTGTATTTGGTAAAACTAGCTTTGCCAGGAACAAACTCACGTTTGGGTCCTCTCTCTCTGACCTTAGTGTCTATCTCTTGGGTCTGGAAAAAAAGGGTATGACCGATAGTTTAGGAATCACTAAAGTTAAGGAGGGGAGGCCCACGAGTCCAACTTACCGCTGTGGGGGCCCAGTCCTGGCCATATACAAAGCAGTACTTGCAGTAGAGGTCGTCATACTCTGGAAACTGAGGGAAATGCAAGCAGGGTTCTGTTTAGGGAATGCAAACTGAGCCCACACATTAGCTAGGCAGGTGCAGTGAGTAGGAATTAGCAACATGAGGTACCTGGGTTGGAGGGTGTGAATTTCGGCAGGAGCAGGGGACAGAAATGAGGTCAGGGTTAGTCCCAGTCTGCCAGGGCTGCTTTACTAGGGTCTGCTCTCTGTCTTTCCCAGTCCATCACCTGACAAGCCCCTTGCCCATCCTTCAGAATCCACCCTCGGGGAGCTTGTTCTTCACTCCTAGTGGGCTAAGGATCATTGTTTGGCTCCTTTCACCCTCTATTTTCTATGTCTGACTGAGGAAGGAACAGGTTTTATGCCTCTGTGGGTCCCCAGTGCTGGACACAAATGAGAGCTACGGGAATCATGCTGACGTGAAACCTAGGAAGCTACAGTTCTATGGCTAGAAGTGAGGGCCTGGGAGAAGGGAGGTGGCTAGAGTACTCAGCCTAGCTGGGCATCATTCTATTAGATAGAGGAAAATGGGAGAGCATGCAGTATCTGATGAACCAGGAAGGCAGGAACACCCACTGAACCCAGAGCCTGGCAGAACACAAATCATCTAGCAGGAATAATGAGCATTTTCAATAAGCCCAGAAAAATAACGTAACAAAGTTCTGTCAGAAGATCTGGGTTTGAATTCCACTTGGCCACTGCTTTCTGGTAAATTTTCCTTGCTGTTAAGTGGGTCAGTTGAGCCTTCCCAGCCCATCACTCAACCAAATAGACAGGACCCAAGCTGGAGGCCATAATGTGGATTTGGTACCAGCTCAAGGTCTCCTGTGCTGTTTTTATGCCTGCTTGTCCCGACCCAGCAACTAGGCGAACTAGGCGCCAAGGCTTTCAAACACTAGTTCTTTCCAACGAATTGAGAGGTCAGAGCAATGGCTTGGTTCTCTAGGAACTGAGGGAAGAATCCGGGGAAGGGAACGGGCTGACCCCGGGCAGGGTCCACGGCAGCTCACCTGGGCGCTCTCCACTTGCCCGTTGACCATGAGTAGGAAGACGCTGGGACTCGCAGCAGCCATTGCACGGCTGGACCGGGAGACCCGCGCAGGCCGCGCGCCGTTGCCAGGAGGCTCCCAGGTTGCCCTGGAAACAGATGGCAAACCATTGGGACAAATTTCTGGGCGGCGACGATTTCGCGCAAGAACTAGATTGCGCAGGCGCAGTAGTCTTGGCCGGCCATGAGGACCGTCTTCCATTCCCGTCGTGTAAAACTAACTTCTAAGGCCGGGTTCACGGGCCCGCATGGACTGTGACTGCACTAGCCTGACCATGCTTTGAAGCTCGCAGGCTGGAGAGCTGGGTGATGAGAAGCAGCTGCCCGACTCAGGCCCACGGAAAGTCACGTGCTATAGTTACCTCTGGCCAGAAGGTGACGCTGTGGCCACGCGGCACAGGCGGCTCAGCTGGAGGGCCTGGTTTGCAGAGTGACCCAGAGCCTTGCCCCAGGGAAAGGGTACACCCTTCAAGTCCTCGAAACCCCAAGAATCCTGCCGTCCAAACACTCGTGTGTGAAGCTGGGGTCCACAGAGAGGCAGCAACCCACGTACCAGTCATTCATTTTTGGAGGCTCACTGTCAGCTCGGAAATGTTAGAGCTTGGTCCCAAGCCACCAGCATTCTCCCTAGTAGACTGTCCTCACTTGGATCCAATCCTACGTAGTCTTACTATTGTCCAATTCAAGGTGGCTTAATGCTAGCTAGCCTTTGCCGGAGATCCCCAAGTGTGGCAAACACTTGGGAACTACTTCTTGAATACATCTCCGTTTGCTGGAGGAAGAGTCTGAAATTCAGAACCAGAGGATAATTTGGTCATAGTGATTGCAGTAGTTTAGGCTTCGCATTGCAGAACTTCACAAGGAAACATTCGAGACCACATTAAGTATTGGAGAGTCTAAAACAATGGATGCAGAGGTGTACACTTGAGGGCACTCAGCCTGCAGTGTGGAGTCCAGGTCATCACAGCAACTTCCAGCTTGGAAGTAGCTCGGGGGTTCCACAACCACCAGTGCGGAAGAGGGAAAGGTGTGCGGTCACAGCCTCCCCGCTGCCGAATTCTTTAGCTTACAGCCAAGAGTCATAAATTGAGCCTCTGGGCCCCTCTCCTCTTGCTGGTGGCTGCCACCTGCTGGTCTCAATTGGAAGAGTTGGAAAGTTACAGGGTACTGACTGAGCTATGATCAGAGAAGGGGACACTCCATAAGATCTGCTGTCAGAGCTTTTTCTTAACTGGTGATTGATGGGGGAGGGCCCGGGGGAGGGCCCAACCCATTGTGGTGGGGCCACCGGGACAGGTGATCCTGAGTTCTATAAGAATGCAGGCTGAGCAAGCCATGGGGAGCAAACTGCACTCCTCCTTGGCTTCTGCATCAGCTACTGCTTCCAGATCCTGCCCTGCTAGAATTCCTGTCCTGACTTGCTTTGATGATGAACAGTAAGATGGAAGAGTAAGCTGCATAAACCCTTTCCTCCATCACTTGTTTGGTCATGGTGTTTCATCATAGCAATAGAAACCCTAACTAAGATGAGCTGGTACCAGCTGGGCGTTGATGGTGTACGCCTTTAATCCCAGCACTCGGGAGGCAGAGGCAGGTGGATCTCTGTGAGTTCGAGGCCAGCCTGGTCTACAGAGCGAGTTCCAGGACAGCCTCCAAAACAATACAGAGGAACCCTGCCTCAAAAAAAAAAAAAAAAAAAAAAGAATGAGCTGGTACCAGGACTGTGGGGATATTGCTGTGACAAACATAATCATGTTGTTTGGGGGAGGGTTGTGGAAGGACATTGAGTGTTGAGTGTTCAGTGAGCTGTTCTGTAGGAATTTGGCGGTAGATAAGAATGTTGAGAGCACCGGGTGGTGGTGGCACACACCGTTAGTCCCAGCACTCAGGAGGCAGAGGCAGGCAGATCTCTGAGTTGGAGGCCAGCCTGGTCTACAGAATGAGTTCTGGTACAGCCAGGACTACACAGAAAAATCCTGTCTTGAAAAACAATGTTTTTGAGACCAATGCAGATGATGAAGGCCTGGCTTTGTGAAGATGTTTCAGTGGGAAGTAAAGACTATAACAGGCCTTTTGTATGAAGAAGCTGTGCTGTCTGCTCAGCTGGAGCTGAAGAATGGGCTCTGATTAACAAGAGACCAGAACCACGAAGTCAAACCTTTGCTTTCCTGGGACAGTGGGTGCTGGTCAGCTGGGGTTGAAGAATCAGCTATGACTGAGGCCAGCATCAATGAGGTGGACTCTTCTGGGAAGAGTCAGCACACAGAAGATGTGAGCTGCCATGTGGGTGCTAGGAATTGGACTCAGGACCTCTGGAAGAACAGCCTGAGCTATCTCTCACAGCCCATCTCCTTGTACCTGTATTCTGCCACAGGCATGAATGTGATGGCTGGATGCAGCAGGCATGAGTTCAGACAGGTAAAATGAAGGGAGAACAACAGCAAAACGGGGAGAGCCCTAGTCCCTGACAAACTGTATTAAGTATATTAGATTTCTGAGGCAGGGTAAAGAGACAGGAGGACAGAGAGCAGACTCTGACCTTAGTAGACAGAATTGTTTATTTCAAGCAGCGTTGGACACTCTCCCAAGGGAAAAGGGATGCCTGTAAGGGAAGGAGGCTGGCTGGGACCTTGTATATGGGGCTAGAAGAAGGGCTTGGGAATGGGGAAATTGCTGCAGTCATTGTCCACATTTCTCTCAAGTCACTCTTCCAAAATTGTTTGCTCAAGGTGAGACAGACTGTCCCACAGACATTCCTTTCTGGGCTGACTGATAATGCCTGAGCAAGGTCATTGTAATCTCACAGGATCCTGTCTTACAACTGAGGCACTCCTCCTGAGCAGCTAGGCCAGCAAAGTTCTTCACCTTATTTTTATGTATGTGTATATGAGTACAGGCATGTGCATGTCACATGTGGAAACCAGAGAACAACTCTTGGAAAGATGTTTCTCTCTTGGCATCTGAGGACAGAATTCAAGTTGGCAGGCCTGTGGGCAAGCAGCTCTACTGCCGAGCCATTTCATCACCAGCCCTGGACCTCTCTCTCTCTCCCCCCTTCTGTTTTTATTTTATTTTTATTTTGAGATAGGATCTTATTATGTAGATGATACTAGCCTCAAATTTATGAGATGGATCCTCCTGTATAAGCATGAGTTTTCTGGCCCGGCAGAAACATATGTACAAAAGACATCCCCGTCACTCCTGCCGCTGCTCCCTGAGTGCTGGAAGGGGGTGAGCAACATCATGCTTAGGGATAGCCTTCAATCTAGCCTTTAAGCCATGGTTGATGGGGTCCTGTTACTTGCATCCAGATGCAGTCCTGCCTGGTCCTCTTAGGTGCAAGGTGGGGAGAACTGCAGTCTTGGGAAGCTTCTCACACTGTCTCTGAGGTGTGTGCCCCTGCCCCCCAACATGTGCACGGTTAACAGTAGAGCCCTTGTCTGAATTGCAGCTGGAGTCAGAATTTAGTCCAAGTCCCCATTTTCAGTCTTGAGTGATTCTTTCCCATATGACAGGCAGCAGGACATTTATGTAGCCAGTAAGAGCAAGGCTGATAGGATGGGGACTGGTCAAGAGCACCAGCTAAGAGACTTACAGTTCAGGCCGTGCCTGTATGACGGGGTTATGGCTAGGTTATGGCAGGGGTGGCTCTTTTGGTTCTAAACTCTCCTCCCTAACCTGCTGTGAACTGAAGTCCCTAGGAAAAAGCTGCACCTGTATAAAGATTCTACATGCTGGCTGATTGGTTAGAATGTCTGTGCTTATAGAGAGCTGGGATGTAGGTCCTGAGCCAAACTATTTTAGGCTAGCTTTAAGTCTTAACAGTCATTCATGGTCCAGCTGTGGCACCCAACATCTGTCCTTCTGTCAGGTACATCCACTGACTCTAAAGGTCAACTGTGTTATCAGATGACACCTAGTGTCTACAGCGGAGACTGCTCTGCTCTGAAGTGGTAGTTCTCAACCTGTGGACTGAGACCCCTTTGGGGGATTCACAACCCTTTCACAGGGGTCATGTATCAGATAACCTGCATACTGGATATTTACATTACTATAAAAACTTCAGGAAAGTGTTACTACATTAGAACACAGTATTTAGGGTGACCTGAATCTGTGTACCTGGGCCATGGTCACTCACATTTGGTTCTAGAATAAACCTAACTCTCTCTAAGGTGAGGGCTGTGTTTTTATACCCAACAAGGGATCCCAAGGATCATGGAGAAGTCACCTGGATCAGCACTGTGTGCAAGCACAGGTCTCCTTTGTCCAAACACTGGGTGTTGTCTTCTTGAGTGGTGCTGGTGAATTCTTTCTGGGGTTCAGACCTCCCTTAGTTTGGTTGATGGTTTCCAGAGAGAAAGAGGGGGGTTGTGTATGTTTGGACACCCTTGGGAGCCAGAAGAGGGTGTCAGATCCCCTGGAGCTGGAATTACAGGCAGCTGTGAGCTGGAAACAGAACTCCAGTCCTCTGAAAGAGCAGCAAATGCCCTTAACTGCTTTGTCATCTCTTGGACCCCATTGGTTCATTTTTTAGCTGACTGAGGATTTGATTTGGATACTGTGTTTTGGTTTCAAAGCATTTGGTTTTAAGTGATCCACTTTTATTTTAGTCTTTCTATTTTTTTTTGTTTTCTGGTGTTTAGTTTGTTAATTTCATTGTTGACTTACGTTTGTGTAGTTACTTGCTATAGTTCCTTTCCTTGTTGCTGCAGCATAAGTACCAGCTCAAAGCAATTTAAAGGGTTTATTCAGTGACAGTAGCAGGTTGGGTGGTAGAAGCTGGAAGCAGTTAATCACACTGTATCCAGTCAGGAAACAGAGAATGACGACTGTGCAGAATCAGCAAACTGTCTCCTTTGTGTGTAGTCCAGCCAGTACCCAAGCCCAGGGGATGATGCTGCCATTTTGGGGGTAGATCTTCCCGCTTCAATGAATCTAATTTAGACAATCTTTCATAGATGGTCAGAGGCTAATGTAATTCAGATAATCCCTCGGTGTGCCTGGAGGCTTGTCTCCTAGTGACTGTAGCTCCTGTCAGTTGGCAGTCAACATTAGTCATCACACTTAGCATACCAACTTAAGGTATTATGTGTGTATAAGTGTAAACATGTTACAGATGACTTTGACTGCTATTGTCTCTTTTGGAAAACAGATTTTTAAAAAGTTGTTTTCTTAGCCAAGCCTAGATAAGATTTAACTCTAAAGGTTTCAGATGAGAAGAAGCAAAAAAGAAAAGTCATTTTAAAATCTGTTTGATCTGCTTAAATACCTACAAAGATAACTTACAGTC